TCTCAGTAACTTCGCACTCCATTATTATTATTATAATAAAAAAGAAGCGCTAAACCACAAGGGCTAGTGTGTCCCCTAACACACTATCTTCTGGGGTTCGCACTCCAGAAGATAGTGTGTTAGGGGACGCTGGACAAAGTGCTGGCAGTACTGGTACGTCTTCTCAGCCTTGTGTACCATCATCTTGGCTGTGAGAAAGCCCAAACGAAGCCGATGGATAGCGGTACACTGCGCTCTGGACCAACATCTATCATATGGAGGGGGTTCTCCCTGAGTCGCTGCTCGGTACCACTGTTGAGATGGGGTATTACCTAAGACCTCCCCCATAAGTTTCGTGGCTCTGGCAGCCACCAGTTTGATCTGTCGTAGGCTGATGGGGACAGTAATCCCAACATTTGGAAAGTCTGTTGCTGCCTTGGCTGCATCATCTGCCGCCTCATTTCCCCGGATGCCAGCATGGCTGGGGATCCAGTTCAATGTCGATCTGTTACCCTGAACTTCTAAGGCTGTCATTATGCTCAGGATCGATGTGATTAGGTGAACATTGTCCTGTGGTTGAGGATGGGAGAGGGCATTGATTGCAGAGGTGGAATCAACATGTATGACAGGTCGGAGTCGATGTCGTAGGGCATGTGACAATGCCTGCTGAATCGCCACCAGCTCAGTTTGAGGGATCGTGCAGTGGTCAGGGAGTCGCCAGCCTTGTGTGTGACCATTGTGGTACAATCCAGCTGCTGATCTCTTCCTGTCAGGGTCGACAGAACCATCTGTGAAATACACTGCACATGTGCCTCCCTCTGCCAGTGCCATGCTTGTCTCAGCATGATTGCTGAGGGTGTCTTGACTGCAGAGACGCTTAGAGATGGGTAGTTGCATGACGCAACCATCGGCTGGATCTGGGCGCCAGGGAGGTGGTGGATGGTACCCAGCAACAGGAAGGTCACAACTCTTCTCAAGGAGTAGTTGTATAGGCAGCAGCTTCTGCCCAGCAGCACAAAACGAACGAATCCACGAGTAGTCCGTGAAGAGTGTGGGATCTTGTGTCATGGTTGTCAATATCCGTCTCCTTAGTGGGGTACCTTGCTGCCGGTGCAGAATCGTGGCTACTTTGCAGGCCTTTGTGTATCTTACTCTGTCAGCCAGGGAAGGAAACCGGGCCTCAGATCTGAGACATACTGTGTACATACCTACCTATTCCTCCCCGCATTGTTATACCTCCCCAATGCACCTCTCCACTCCTCCCCGCCTTGTTATACCTCCCCAATACACCTCTCCACTCTTCCCCCGCCATGTTATACCTCCACAATACACCTCTCCACTCCTCCCCCGCCTTGTTATACCTCCCAATACACCTCTCCACTCCTCGCTCTTTTTCGATTCACCCCCACGTTTCTCCACTCCCCACTCCTCCCCCAGCTACCAACAGTCATAGTGGTGTCAATGGCCACCTTCAAGTACGGATCATACCATGCCTGGGGATTGAAAGACAGAATGGATGGGTAGCGCCAATTCATTGGATGAAGAGCCCTGTACAACCATCAGGATCCGTCGTGGGAAGACACAAACACACGGAAGTATGGACAAGGGTGTCGCGTCAACGGCCGCTTGTTACGAGGGTAATTACTGTAGTTATATGGGCTACGGGGAGACAGTTTGGGGGAAGCAGTTGATCCTCAGATTGACAGTGGAAACACCTCCGCTAAGCTGGTTGATGGTGGTTGTTGGGGGGGGGGTTATAATGGCTTCCGGAGGTGGTGATTGGGAGGAGGGGAAGAAAAATTCTTATGATAAACGTTGTAAGTCAGTCTGACACTTCATACTATCGTAAAATTGCAAATTATGAAAAACAGGAGTAATTGTGGGAGTGAGCCCAGGCCTGTAGTCCATCGTTTTTTTTTTTTCAATCGCCCACGATAACCTTTGAGATTAATAGCATTTTATTTCCTACTTTGTATTTACCGACTCATAGGCATAAGATTATTCCTGCCTTTCAATAATGTTCTCAGCTCCGGGACCGATCCCCGGCACGAGTGAAACGTTGGGCATATTTTTTTTCCACACCTGCTGCCCCTGCTCACCTAGCAGTATGTACGTGGGTGTTACTCGACAGTTGTGGGTGGCATCCTGGGGGACAAGATTAACTTAAGTTGCCAGAAATACTCTGCATAACCAGGGACTTTCTGATGTCAGCTAGGTTTGTATACTATGTTATCGTTACTTGAAGAAATAAAGATTATTATTATTATAGTGTGAGGGTGGCTAGGATGCCAAGCATATTTCACTAGCAGTGAGACAATAATTACAGAGCTACACTGAAGTACCCACACCAGCAGGTAGTGTCGAGGCAGTGCTACAGTGAAGCATCCATTGTAGCACTCTGGTTGTTAGGCAACCCCACAGTGCTACAGTGAAGCATCCACTGTAGCACTCTGGTTGTTAGGCAACCCCACAGTGCTACAGTGAAGCATCCACTGTAGCACTCTGGTTGTTAGGCAACCCCACAGTGCTACAGTGAAGCATCCATTGTAGCACTCTGGTTGTTAGGCAACCCCACAGTGTTACAGTGAAGCATCCATTGTAGCACTGGTTGTTAGTCAACTCCACAGTGCTACACTGAACCATCCATTGTAGCACTGGTTGTTAGGCAACCCCACAGTAATAATTTATATAAAGAAGAAAAAAGGCCTGGCACTTTCCCTCCAATCTCTTATCACTTCCTCTCACCCACTTATCTTCCTTTGTCCAAAATCTCCGTCTCACCCACATGGATCATACCTGGGAGTATACCTACCTACCTATCTCTCAACTCTTCTTCACATTATACTGATGTGAAATGTTTCGTTTCTCCTTTCTTAAACTGTTCATCTAACGTTTCTGTAGCCTCTCCTTATTATGATTGGAATTAGTTGCATTTTGAATTCCTCCTCCTGCCAACCTCTCATCTCCTCCCACCTAACATCTCTACCCCTTCCCACTTCCACCCACAACTCCCCCATCACCCCTGCATTACCCCTCCCCCAGGGTCTTCTCCAAGGTCAAGGTGCAGAGGGTTGGATGGGGTGGGGGACAGGAAGGGGGTATAAATATTTTCCCCTCCCTCCCTCAGTATTCGTAACTAAACAAGATAGAAAAACTCACTCCCTTAACTCCAAGAAAATCAGTCTCAACATTACGAAATTAACTTACATCATTGTTCCTAAATAATATTAACTGAATCTAGGCTGCCCTGGGATAGGTTGGGTATGATTAGGTTATATCACGAATATTTAGCTACGCTAAGTTAGGCTAGGCCAGATTGTTCAGTTGAGTTTTGGTATAGAGATAAAAAATTACACAACTTGGCCATTTATAAACAGGGTCGTACATACAAGTTTAGCGCTCATTTTAATATAATAATAATAATAATAATAATAATAATAATAATAATAATAATAATAATAATAATAATAATAATAATAATATAATTATAAAATAAATAATAATATAATTATAAAACAATAAATAATAATAATAAAAATAATAATAATAATAATAATAATAATAATAATATAATTATAAAATAAATAATAATATAATTATAAAACAATAAATAATAATAATAATAATAATAATAATAATAATAATAATAATAATAATAATAATAATAATCAAGGGGGTGAGTATCTATGGTCTCCTCGGTAGTAGGCTTATGTATTTTTAAGTGCTTTGGTGACGAATAAAAAAAATTATTGATTCTGTAGCGTCCTTTCCTCTCTTCCTCTAGTGTTGTTGTAGTTACTGTTGTTAATCTATTTCAATGGGAAAACTTCCTCTTTTTTTTATATTTTATTTAAAACTAATACGGTTTAACATAAAAATAAAGAAACAGTATGGATCTCAATCAAATTAACTGACAAACGGATTGCACCTATATGCACGCAAGATATTGCTGCCAAACATACAACAAGAACTTACGGCAAGAACATACCTAAAAAAAATACTGTCACAGGGTCATGAATTGACATATATACACATTCATTAATGCAAAACCTTGCATATATATATAACTTGTACATATAACATGACATCTGACAAAGGCACAATACACTTGAACATAAAATATACAAAAGTTATGTCAGTTAAACTTCCTCTTTGGGGATAAATTTACTCTTGCTGGGGTTGAATTTCAGGAGCCACTTCACTGACCACTCCTGTGTTATACCCAGATCTTCCCTGAGTCTTACTATTTACCCCCCCCCCCCATACTCTGGTCCCTCGGTATCCCCGAAATCTTTCCAGTCCCCTGATTAAATATACCAAGTCTCTGGAGTTTATCAGGTCCCCTGGAGTTTATCCAGTCCTCTGGAGTTTATTCCAGGTCCCCTGGAGTTTATCCAGGTCCTCTGGAGTTTATCTAAGTATTCCTGTAGTTTATCCATGTCCCCCGGGACTCCATCCTGGTGTCCCTGATAGACTATATATATATATATATATATATATATATATATATATATATATATATATATATATATATATATAAAATATATATGGAGAGAGAGAGTTGATTTGTATTAGTAGGATTTTTGGGGGGAGGGAGGGGTGGGGTGGGTACGAGATGATAAGTTTGAGTTGCCATGTCCGGGTTGGGAAATATTGCTAATTACTGAGGTAATATTGCCGAGGTACCACCGGCATATATGAGTGAAAATAGTGAGTTAGGAGGAGGCAGGTCCATGAAGGTTGGTTTGTTCTGGAGTAATAGTGACGGGTAGCTGTGGCAGCCATGCCGCCCCTCACCACAAATATTATATTTAACTCCATTCTCATCCCCGTAGAGCCATGCTAGGTGTTTGGTACATGTTCCTTCACTTACGGAGTTTCTGGCTGTAAATTGTATGGGCCGAGAGGACAGTGTTAGGATAAAGGAAAGTGTGTTAGTGGTTACGTGCGGTGGAGAGCGCTGGCAGCCCCGCACACCCCCACAACCGCCTGCGGCTGGTCGCCGCAGACTTGAAATTTGTGTCTTATGTCAGTGTTGGTGACGAGGGTGAAGGGGGAGGGTGTACCTCCAAGGCTCTTGCACACCTTACTGTCACACCCTCGCTTCCCATCGTTCCTGAGGAACACCGTCGCCCTAACACCACTTGTCAACTTCTGGATAAACTCTGAGCACTAGTGATTAATGATATATAACATTTGTGTTTCTAATTGTCCAGAATCTGTATTTTAGAACTTTGGTGTCTGGAACTCTTCGCCCTTATCTAAACACTTGTAATTGTGACGAGGGTGAACTGTAAATAACCCTCGAGACTGTCCTTATGACGTTGTGTTGAGCAGCAAGTGTCAAGGAGGAGCCCAACACTTGAAGCCTCGTCAGGAGGAACACCTGTACACCCAGATTCTAAACTCCCAATTTGTAAGCAAATATTACACCACAGTGTTCTGTTTTACGCTAAAAATCACCCATTCATGTATTATTTTAATTGGACTATGATGGAGATCCCATCCTCATTTTTTTTCAATACAAACTTGCTACTTAGTGCAAATTACTTCCTGTACAAATTTTTTTGGAAGATTAGCTAAATAATATATTTACATTAGGAGGTGCAGTACGTCAGGGCCAATCAACTGTTAGTATTGACTCTGCTGGCCAATCACAGCGAACGTAAACAAAAACGAGTCCAATGTAAACAAAGGTGCGGCCGTACCATATATACCAGTGGCGGAGTAAGGTTAGATTAGACAGTTTTTTTTTTACATTTCCACTACGCAAATGTCGATGGTAAAACCAAGATGACCTTGGACACTTTTGGGAATAAAGTATCGGCAAACTGCCTGACTGAATCTCCTTAATTACTGTATTTAGTCCCCACATACAGTATTTAGCCCCCTGCATACCACGTATTTAACTCCCTGCATGCCATATATTTAGCTCCCTGCATACCACGTATTTAGCCCCCTGCATACCACGTATTTAGCCCCCTGCATACCACGTATTTAACTCCCTGCATGCCATATATTTAGCTCCCTGCATACTACGTATTTAACTCCCTGCATGCCATATATTTAGCTCCCTGCATACCACGTATTTAACTCCCTGCATGCCATATATTTAGCTCCCTGCATACCACGCATTAAACTCCCTGCATGCCATATATTTAGCTCCCTGCATACCACGTATTTAGCCCCCTGCATACCACGTATTTAACTCCCTGCATGCCATATATTTAGCTCCCTGCATACTACGTATTTAACTCCCTGCATGCCATATATTTAGCTCCCTGCATACCACGTATTTAACTCCCTGCATGCCATATATTTAGCTCCCTGCATACCACGCATTTAACTCCCTGCATGCCATATATATAGCTCCCTGCATACCACGCATTTAACTCCCTGCATGCCATATATTTAGCTCCCTGCATACCACGTATTTAACTCCCTGCATGCCATATATTTAGCCCCCTGCATACCACGTATTTAGCTCCCTGCATACCACGTATTTAGCCCCCTGCATACCACGTATTTAGCCCCCTGCATACCACGTATTTAGCCCCCTGCATACCACGTATTTAGCTCCCTGCATACCACGTATTTAGCCCCCTGCATACCACGTATTTAGCTCCCTGCATACCACGTATTTAGCTCCCTACATGTATTTAGCTCCCTGCATACCTCGTATTTAGCTCCCTGCATATTACGTATTTAGTTCCATGCATACCACGTATTTAGCTCTGCATACCACGTAATTAGCTCCCTGCATACCACGTAATTAGCTCCCTGCATACCACGTATTTAGCCCCCTGCATACCATGTATTTAGCCCCCACATACCTTGTATTTAGCCCCCACATACCATGTATTTAGCCCCCACATACCATGTATTTAGCCCCCACATACCATGTATTTAGCCCCCACATACCATGTATTTAGCCTCCACATACCATGTATTTAGCCCCTACATACCATGTATTTAGCCCCCACATACAATGTATTTAGCCCCCACGTACCGTGTATTTATCCCCCACATACCATGTATTTAGCCGCCACATACCATGTATTTAGCCCCACATACCATGTATTTAGCCCCACATACCATGTATTTATCCCCCACATACCATGTATTTAGCCTCCACATACAATGTATTTAGCCCCACATACCATGTATTTATCCCCCACATACCATGTATTTAGCCTCCACATACAATGTATTTAGCCCCACATACCATGTATTTAGCCCCACATACCATGTATTTAGCCCCCACGTACCGTGTATTTAGTCCCTCGCATACCATGTATTTAGCCCTTCGTATACCATGTATTTAGCCCTTCGTATACCATGTATTTAGCCCTTCGTATACCATGTATTTAGCCCTTCGTATACCATGTATTTAGCCCTTCGTATACCATGTATTTAGCCCTTCGTATACCATGTATTTAGCCCTTCGTATACCATGTATTTAGCCCTTCGTATACCATGTATTTAGCCCTTCGTATACCATGTATTTAGCCCTTCGTATACCATGTATTTAGCCCTTCGCATACCATGTATTTAGCCCTTCGTATACCATGTATTTAGCCCTTCGTATACCATGTATTTAGCCCTTCGCATACCATGTATTTAGCCCTTCGCATACCATGTATTTAGCCCTTCGTATACCATGTATTTAGCCCTTCGTATACCATGTATTTAGCCCTTCGTATACCATGTATTTAGCCCTTCGTATACCATGTATTTAGCCCTTCGCATACCATGTATTTAGCCCTTCGTATACCATGTATTTAGCCCTTCGCATACCATGTATTTAGCCCTTCGCATACCATGTATTTAGCCCTTCGCATACCATGTATTTAGCCCTTCGTATACCATGTATTTAGCCCTTCGCATACCATGTATTTAGCCCTTCGTATACCATGTATTTAGCCCTTCGTATACCATGTATTTAGCCCTTCGTATACCATGTATTTAGCCCTTCGCATACCATGTATTTAGCCCTTCGTATACCATGTATTTAGCCCTTCGTATACCATGTATTTAGCCCTTCGTATACCATGTATTTAGCCCTTCGTATACCATGTATTTAGCCCTTCGTATACCATGTATTTAGTCCTTCGGATGCCATGTATTCATTATTATTATTATAATCAAGGGGGAAGCGCTAAACCCGGAGGATTATACAGCGCCTGGGGGGGATGTGGAAGGCATTCAGGCTTAATTCGGGGAACTGGAGCCCAGATCCAATTCCCTAAATCAAGAGCCCCTCACCAACATCAAGGAGCCTTCCTTGAGGGGTGCCATGTATTCAGCCCCCCACATATACACCATGTACTCTTCGAAAAAAAAAATAGGTAGTTGTGTGTGGAAGGTTGGTGGGTGTGAGGGGCGGTATTGTTAACACGTTCTTGGATGTTTGTATGATGTGTCACAACTAAGGCTCAGGGCGGGAGTAAAAAATAATCTCTGAAAATTTATGTGTGTAGGCTTATGTTGGCTCAGTTCCTCAACAGTCGAGATTTTACTGAGCACGTGGCAGCCCACCACGCCGAGCTCACATATTTTTTGTTTAAATATAAAATTATAAACTGCAGTAGGCCTTTTGGTTCATGTGTAGGCAGGTCCAGATTACACCAATAATTCTAGTTCATGGAACTGGATTTTTAAATTTTCCAGAAATATCTAAATTGAGCTACATTGCATAAATATATTAGTATAAGTACGAAAGTGGCTTTGTTCCACTCAACTCAGACTCGTATACACACACCAATGCATGCATGTTTTTATCTCTTTTTTTTTTTTTTAGATATAAGTTCATTTGTAAATGTCAGTCATAACTTGCCTCATTCAAAGCATTTTAAGATAAATTTAATTAATCAGTCTTGTGTATGAACAATTCCAGAGGATTAACTAGGCACGTTTTCATCGTTGCGCAATGTATGTGATCAGAACTTCTCAAAGTGAGACCTCTCACAAGCTTTTATGAGATCACATCTGCATAATTCTCTGGGGACGTATATTGGCGTGTGAATTATGCTAATTTTCCTTCAGAATTGGTCAGCGGTCATTAAATGCCACAAATTAGCTATTTAAGGAAACATTTTTTCCCAAGTGGTTATGTGAAGCCAGTAATACATAATTAATGAACAGTCCTGTCTTCCTCGAATTATTTTCTAGGAAAATAAGGAAAGGAGTAAAAAATTTTAGATGACTATTTTAGGGAAGGGAGGTTAAAGAAGGGGAGGTGTGGGTGGGGGGTATTGGAAAATAACCCCCCCCCCCATTTCCCCTTCCCTGTGTTCTTATCTGGGTAGGATGAGGGCAACATATTAACGTGGAGAACTGTTTTACAAAGTTTGTAGGGCCGAACAGGTTCCTTTACATTACATCGAGGAAAGTATTAGCACACCTTTATTTGCAGTTTTAATTTACCGGTTTTGCAATATTTGAGATACTTGGCACACCACTGCTTTTTTAATTTATTTTTCATAAATGGTTTTGCATGTAATATCAGGTCTGGTCTGGGACCGGACCGCGGGAATGATGACCGTCAGCAGAGATTACGGGTAACCTGCAGGTGGTCATGATACGGTCTCAAGCTAGGTCTCCTAAATTGGAAAGGAAATATTATTAACACAGAATCATTCAGAAACACCCAGATAAATAAGTAAAGATAAGTATATTAATTTAAGTTTATATTCATAAGAGTTACCTGCCCACATGAATGTAAGACAAAAGTAGCAGCAATCTTAGTAAGTTGGGTGGTTCAGTTTCATTATGTGACGACGGTTGCATCTACCTAGATGGTTACTGTCTGCAACTTATTGTCTATTAATGTTTTGGTATAGCTTAGCGTGTTTACTGCAGGTTTGTTTTAATGTTTCTGGGAGGGTAGGGCTGGATATGCTCCTTCCCTAGGGTATAGGGGTTACCTTTGTAAATCTCTCTAGTAGTATATTCGTGAGAAAGCACTAAACCCGTTGGAATTACCTGGAGTCGTTCGGAGGACACCGTCCCCGCGGCCAGGTCCTTAACCAGGCCTTCTGGTTGCCGGCCTGATCGATCAAGCTGTTAGTGGCCGCCGTCCGCAGTGCAACGTGTGCACTACAACCCGGTTGATTAGGAACTATTTTGAGGAATTTGTCGAGTTCCCTCTTGAAGACAGCTAGGAGTTGTTGATCCCCTTTATGCATGAATGGTGAAGTCATAGTCCTTTACACTTATTGAGCTCTCTCTGTGTTCATCACTCCCGTTTTTCATTGGAGGTATCCTGTACCGCCGGCCAAGCCTCTTGTGTTCATAAGTAGCAATTTTGGTCTGCAGTATAATTTTTTAACATATTTAAAGTTGTCTTTTGTTATGTATATTTTAATAGTGATTTAGTTTTCAGTGATTTGCGTTAATTAAGGGAAAGGTGGGTAC